TTCTTTATGAAATGGAGAGAAGATCATTATCTTGAAACACAATGTGCGCACCAGGCCCAACAAAAGTTGAGAAACTTGCTTAGTAGTACTGGGCCTGGATGACTGATTGGAAGTGGGCTTTGCATGGCCTCCTTGACACCCATACCCACAATCAGCCTCATCCTCATTCTCAAGGTCATAGAGAACCATTCTGCGAGCATTGGGAGTTCACATCCTATCCCACAAGTTCGATTAGACCAATCCTGCTCATCTCCACTGTTCTCACCCAATGGCTCTTCAGGTCTATGCTCCATATCCCCGCATCTACGACGAAATCTTCCAAAGAACCTTATGAAGCCCATGGAACGATCCAGCCATAGATACACTAAGGGTCTGAATTGGCTGTGTGGCCACTACTCATTCCCAAGCTCATGAAGAACCTTCTCTTCACCCCAACCTTCTTGCCCACACATAGACATACATGAAGTCAGGTTGTACCAAACCTGGCACCAAGGACATTCTTTCTCGTGATGCCACCCAAGCTCAAAACCTCATTGGACCTCACCAACACCCACCCAAAAGTAAACCAATAAATTGTGCCAAAAATATGCTCTACCAATAGCATGAATCATGAGGATCAACCAATGTTGTACCCAAATGGTTCTGATCTTCCATTGGGCCACCTAACCATGCACACAAACCCATTCCATGGACCCCATCCTCATTGATTGCCTAGCAAGTTTCCCTCTCACATGGTGCCCATGTGCTCTTGGAGGCCAAACAAACCCAATCAAAGCGCCATCCATATTGCGCTGCTGTCTGGGGCATTTGCTCAATGGCTTGTATAGCAATACAATTTGCTCAAAGTCAGGATCCCAATCTCTCATGCAGGTGTTGCGTCTATGCAGCCGCCTTTGGTCTCAAATGAAATTGCATACATACAGCCACAACCCCAATGCCAGCTGTTTGATGCACCCAATGCTTCATCTCATCTCATCTCATCTCATCTCATTTCATCCACATTGGAAGTTCCATTTTCCTATGCTCTCTAGCTATATGCCCATCTCTCTCTTTCATTGGATACCTTAAGCCATCAAATCAAGACAATCTTCCACACTCCATCATTGAGACCATACAGTATAGGTATCCACCCTCACCACATAGAGCCTACAGTATATACAAGTGCTTGCAGGAGCAGACAGTTGTGTCTTCAAACAGACGAGAGGAATATAAGAAGTTGTGGTGGAATTGCTACTCTTACACAGGTAGCTATAATGAAATCAATAATCTTGACTATCTCTAGCACCCGGGCCACTTCCAGCTCGTGGAATTGACAATGAGTCCTCAATCTCCAGCAAGTGGGGCCTGGGCCTAGGCTTCTCTAGGGGGGGGGG